TGCCAGCCACGCCGTTCTTTCGTCTCCGCGAGAACAAGATTCAGGGTGTGAGACGGAGAGAAATAGAAAGAGAAAGAAAAAGACGATAAAGATGGAAAAAGAGAGAAAGAGATAGAGAGAGGGAGAGAGAGAGAGAGAGAAAGAGAGATGAAAAGAAAGAAAGAAAGAAAGAAAGAAAGTAGAAAGGTGTGGGGTGCCTTCGTGGGGGACAAAACTCACCCTAAGAAGCCTTTAAGAACGCCAAGGCGGTGGTACAAGGTTCTGGTGGGGTATAAAAGTAGCCGCATGCGCATTTCCGTGAAAAAGTGCGGCCCGCCTCCGGCACCGCCTCCACCGCCTCCACCGTCTACGACGACCCTCCACCCCCTATTCGCGAGAGTCTCGAGACCCCCAGGACCCCCCAAGACGTCTCGGCTGGCCCGAGCTGCGGCCTTTTTCGAGAATTACCTACGGCCAACGTGTTCTAACTCTCTGCGATTAGCCTCTCCTCTTCTACTCTTGTCATCAACCCCTTCTAGGAAGTGTCGAGAAGCGAAATATTCGTGCGATCGTCACAGTCCAAGTGTCTACTTAAAGAAAGAGAGATAAAGAGAGATAGAGATATATATATGTATATAATTGTTTCCTTAAGGAAAACGCGTGATATCGGCGTAAGAAATCGGGGTAAAAAATCAGCGTAAGAAATCGGCGTGAATTTTAGAGAAACAAGTGATATTTATATAAACGGTGTTGGTGTAAGAGTTTTATTTTAAATATATATATATATATATTATTATTATAGTTTTATCTGTGAAATATATTAATCAAATCATTTCTACATCGACGAACAGTGACGTGAGTGTCGATTAGTGTTGATCCAGGATCAGGTTTTATTACGGTAAAACGACTTTACCGACCGTACGCGGATTATCGGCCGAGATCGGTTCGCATTTAAGCGCGCTTTTTGATTATCCGTTTGCGAGTATTTTTATCCGAGTTTGTTTTATCTCTCTCATTTCTCTCTCTCATTTCTCTCTCTCTCTCTCTTTCTCTCTCTCTCTTTCTCTCTCTCTCTCTCTCTCTCGTTTTCTTTGTCTCTTTGTATGCATGTATGTATGTCTATATATATATATATATATGTATATATATGTATATATATATAAATCTATCTCTCTCTCTCTCTTTTTTCTATCTCTCGTAACGAAAAATGCACGAGCTCCAATTATTTCTTGTCGCTCTACGGGGTGACAACAAATCCTGCTGATCTAATTGGTCGCTAGTAGGTAATTGTTCGGCCCCGATAATTGGTCCAATTAATTTGAACGGAAAAGTGCGTCGATAATCGTCCTGCATTCATCGCCGCGCTGGTTACGTGGACCGTGTCGGATGCGGGTTATAGAGTATCGTTACCGTCGAAAGGGCATCCGACAGCGAGAGAAAAATAGTCGAAATTGCGTTTCGGACGAAGAACGGGTAATACCAAATAGTGGCGAAAACCAATCGTTTTTAATAATGATGGCCGTCGAATTATTTCACCTCTCTTCTGTTTATTTCATTTAAACGCCAAAGAATTACCTACGGAACGATTAAAAATGTTCTACCTCATATAATATCCTCTCCCCTCTTAACAAACGATTACGAATCTCACGAAAGAGATGAGAAAAATCTATGTCAAGACATCAAAATAATAAATCAATCTAATGATCTATGCTTAATTTAGTAGAATTACAGTAAAAATAAGTTCATCTTTTGATTACCTCCATCGTTCGTAGAAACGTAGAATTTATCGTTCATTCTCTAACACAAAATCAAAGTACTTTGAATTTCTCTTAACATACCACAAGTTTAATCCTTACTTTTGTCATTTCTTTCTCTTTCTCTCCTAACGAGTCAAATACTTCTCAACTATCTTCTATTTGCATTAACTTCAAAAAAATGCGATACAAATAACACGGTTATCCTACTTACAATACGATGAAATAGCAGTCGTACATTAGTTTGATTTTCACAGTTGCTTTTGACTTTTATCCTTCACTAACGTCTACATCCATTCCCTAAGAGATGTATCAAAGAAAAAAGCAAGTACATATAGAAAACACGAATCGTAGGTGGAATTCGCACAACAAAGTGCATCGTTTAGGGGTCTGCAAAGGCGTTGTATTGTTAGCCATAGGGGTGCAGGATTATATATACACACATACACATATACAGATGGGGTTCGAGACTCTCTCTCTCTCTTTCTCTCTCTCTTCTCATTTAGGGGTTCTCCTATAGATACGTCATGATCGATAGTCTCGTTGTCAGCGCTCGAAAAAGTGACGCGTCTCGTACGCTCTCTCGTCGAGTTTCGTTCGATCTCGCATATTAAGTTGCTAAAAACTCATCGCGAACATCGATCGAACATATCGCGATAAAGTATCACCTCGCGGAAGTTCGCTTTTCTTTTTTTACTTTTTCCTTTCCTTTTTTTTTCATCCGAAAATCATCTCTGAACTATCTCTAATGAAAGAATGAAAGAAAGAAAGAAAGAAACAAATTGAACATTTAAATATGATATTTCAACTGTAACACGTGTAAAGGAGAGATACATCGTATTATTAGATTATTAATTTATTCATTCGTTAGATTATTTATCGGTTAAATCCAAAATGCGATAAATCCAGCCTCGAGAGCAAACAAGTAAGATAAACGATTAATCGTACGTAAATGCGATTACATAAAAAACGTCGTAACAGGGAGCTATGCGATGCGTAACGTTAACGTTAACGTAACGTAATGTAATGTAACGTAACGTAACGTAACGTAACGTAACGTAACGAAACGTAACGCAACCCGACGCGACGGAATTGGGATGGGTTCTCGTAAATCTTCGATTTAACGTCGAGTAGCGTTAGAAATCATTAGGAGATACGCCAGTTTTAGCTTTATAATATGCATTTGAATCTTGAAGGCAACTTATTGCTAAAGGGAGGACGTTAAGGGAAAGTGTATCTCTCTTCTCACTGTTTCTCTATATCTGTCTCTTTCATACCCCCTCCTAACGCATTCTTTTTCTCATTCTCCGTCGTAGTCATCTCACTCCAACTTTCCACCCTAACTTTGCCTTCTCTTTATCTCTTACTCTTACTCTTTCTCTTTCTATTTCTATTTCTCTTTCTCTTTCTTGTTCCATCTTTTTCTCTTGCTCGCTCGCTCGCTCACTCAACAGCTTGCACCCTCGAAGAGAGGAGCCCCAAGCAACCCTGACGCAACCCCCGGTATATACTCGGTGCTAAACGCAACTACACGAGGGGGCCTTTCTGCCGTCTTTGTTTTCCCTTTCTTCACAGTGTCGTTTCGCAGTCTCGCGCGGCGGGGCGGTCGTTCAACGACGGAAGCAGGAAGGAATCGGACGGGGAAGAAAGATAATACGACGTCGCCGAACTTCAAGGAACAAGGACACGAGAAACACCATTTTTTTCTTCCTTTTATTTTTTTATTTTTTTTCCATTTAGTTCCATCCTCTCGAACTATTCCTAAAGACGAAAGAGATTTTTTTTCCTTCGCGTCAGAATTATACTTGACGAGTCAGAATTTTCTAACGTATGACATCTTACCAAGTTTCGATCTGTTTCAAAATCTATTAAAGGGAATGAGAGATAAATGAGAGGGAGAGAGAGAGAGAGATAGCATTGTGAGAAATCTCATGGACAAACGAGCGAACCAGTGATCGCGGCTTTACAATGTGTTACTGCGTGTTCGGTTTTTTTTTCTCTGAATAAAAAAAAAAGAAAAAAAACAACTAGAAAAACAACGATCAAAAAAAAAAAAAGAAAGAAAAAAGAGAAAAAACGAGGCAAATAAAAAGGACGAGCGTGCTAACGAGGTAAAAATGCGTAACCGCGCGGTGATTTTACGGCAGGKCGCGATATAATCGATAATAATGGAATAAGTAATTAGCCCGATGAAACGGCGCTAACTATACATACCAGCCAATCGGAGATATCTAATATCGGAGAGGATGCGTGGAAATCGATTAATATAGAAATCGTGCGGTTGATTACGGATAGTTCTTATTAACTATCCGAAACGAACAAACGAACAAACGAACGAACGAACGTAGAAACAAATGACGATGATGACTATGACGATGGTTAATTTTAGTTTTACGTGGTCAGGGATTCGTCGATATGTTTAATATAACCCATCGTAATTCAGCCCGGAAACCTTTCCATCATCATTTCGAGTATCAGCAAAAAGCAATGGCGACAATGATTATTAGCGATAAATTACGTAACGAGAGAGTGATAGCTTGTATACGGGTACGCGATACTTATCCGCGTTTTAACGATCGAATGTAAAATAATCCACGCGGTGTTATATCCTTCGTCGTAGATATAAGCAGACAATTTTATCGATAATCGATCTATTTACGTATTTTTGAAAGAGAGAGAGAAAGAGAGACAGAGAGAGAGAGAAATCATAGTCGCGATGTTAAAGTTAGAACGGAACGAGAAAAATCTTCATGGAGATCATCGAGGAAGACATCCGAGGTTATCCGAGGTATCGGGAGGGACTTCAAAGTGGCAATGATGAATCGTAATAAAAGTTCGAAAAGTCGAAAGAAAAGAGGATGAGAAGAAGAGGAACCAACACCACACACAGTGATCGGAGTAAGGGGTAGAGAGAAGAACGTTAGGCGTCATCCGGTGAGGTGTCATCGTTGACATCAGTAAAAGAGAGAAAGAAAGAGTGAGAGAAAGAGAGCGAGAGAGAGGTAGAGAGAGAGAGAAAAAGATAGAAAGGGATAAAACTAGGTGGAGAGAGAAAAATAGAGGGAGAGAGAAGTAGTAGAAGAGAAGGAGAAAAGCGAAGTGGAGGAAAGTGATAGAGAGTGACAGAGAGAAGTGAACCAGATAGAAAGAGAAAGAGAGATTTTTCCCCACCGCTTGGAAAAAGCATCCCCCACCAGAGAGAGTTTTACGGGTGCGAGAGGGTCGGCGGGGGTGGTGGCGGCGTGGAGGAAGAGGTGGAGGAGGAGGAAGAGGTGGAGGGACGGGGCGGCGGAGGAAGGGGGTTTACCCGGGGTGGTCTCGGTGGTGGCTGGGGGCGGCAGCCTCAAAAATACACCGCAACCACACCGCGCGGCTCCACCGCAGAAGCCGCCATCTTCCACCGCCGAACCGAAACGAGACCGCGCGAGTTAAACACCCTATCCTACCCCGTACAAGTTGCCGCTGCCACCCGCCGAGGTATCGCCAGGTGAACAACTACCTTCGTCATTCTTGCCAGCAGTTCGAGAAACGTTATCAAGACAACTTACGAAGATCTCACTTCGTCTCTGCTTTCTCCACTGGATCCATTCGACACTAGTTACCGCTCTCTACCTTTTTTTTTTTTCAATCGGATGATCTTGGATACTCGTTACGGAACAAATCCTACCGATCTAACGTTCGAATCAATCGAACGAGACAATTATTCGTCGATCGAGAACAAGTGATTTCGTTCAGTGTCCTGTGTCGCAAAGCGAGTTTGAACCAAGTGGGATATTCGAATCGTCGAGTTTGAACGATTTTGTTTCTTTTTTTTTTTTATAAACGATTCATTAAGATTTTTAATGAAACGTGATTAACGTTCATGATCCTTGAGAAGTTCTGAAAGGGAAGTAGTTTGACGGATTCAAACGGACTGATTCAATTCGACACACGTGACTACTGTTTCGTGCGAACTCTAGAACGCGGGTGAATTTAAGCGTAGTAGAGATCCTTCCTTCCTTCCTTCCTTCCACTACGAGATCTTCTCGATCCGTGGGTTTCTGTGCGATCTGACAACGTGAAGAGAGTTAAGAGTAGCATCGAACAGTTTCTCGAGTGTGTTCTCTCTCTTCTCTATCGAAGAAGGGAAGACGACATAGCATTGTATTAAATGTCATTCGACGTGAATACAGACAAGTAAAAGAAAAAGAAAAAATATACAAGCTGAAGTAAGAAGTTCGAAGATACGAATAAAGAAAGAAAAAGAAGTAAAAGGGAAGGAGAGAGAGAGGAGGGTGGTACTTCCTGTCGATTCCAATAAAACGAATTTTCTCCGCGACTTGGCAATCGAGACGGGAGGAAGAATTTGCAAACGGATGCTCCTCTCCTAAAGCGGGATAATGAAATAAGGATCAAAGGATCGTGGGGTTCGTAGGCCAAATAAGCACATCGTGAACCATTCTCTATGGCATTCGTTTTCGAAGCCAACAACAAATCTGATTCCTTCGGGAGTAGCTATCGTTCTTAATGCGTTCTTCTTGATCCACGAGTTACCATCAGTTTGATTATAAGAATCGTGTTTTTATGAATAGATCCTACAAATCGATAAGAATTCGATCTTCCTGTGTGATCTCGTCAGTTGTAATAAAATAAAAGAAAAAAAAAAATAAGAGAGAGGACGAGTTTATTTAATAAAAATTTAGAAAAAGCTTGATGATCCTGCTCTCATGACGAATCCTTCGCGAGATGTCGTCCGTCCCGAAGATCGGCCTCCTGGCCTAGATTATACCGATCCTAGGTCGGTACGCGGTGATCATCAAGGACATCAAGCAATTCCAGCCAATCAAATCGGGGGTGCAAGAATACGTAGGACTAGGGCCTCTTCCTCGAGGAGAAGAATGCACCTAGCTAACGATGTACCTCCTCAAGGTTCTACTAGCGGTAATCATCATTCCGATTATGCACTCACAGCTGATTTACTTGCTGAAAGGACGTTGGATGGTTTACTTGCTGAACATCCTGGAGAACTCGTGCGAACGGGTAATTTATATTTCGTTAACACAAATCATTAAGATGAAATGATTTTTTTTATATCTTTAAAATAAGAACAATTAATCTCTTGTCTTATGATATGATTCAAATTTTCTATGCGTTTGTTTTTAATTATACGATTATTATTATTATAAATTGATATCATTGATATAAATGAAAAATAGATGAATAAGTGTTATCTGTTTATTCGAAAGGTTGTCCACACGTGGTTTGTACGGTTCTTCCGTCGCATTGGAGATCAAACAAGACTCTCCCGGTAGCTTTCAAAGTGGTGGCACTTGGTGAGGTCGGTGACGGTACCTTGGTCACCGTTCGGGCGGGCAACGATGAAAACTGTTGCGCGGAGTTACGGAATTCAACCGCATTGATGAAGAATCAAGTCGCTAAATTCAATGATCTTAGATTCGTCGGTAGAAGTGGCAGAGGTAAGTGAATTATTTCAACATTTAATTAAAAAAAAACTATGTCGGTATAAAATTAAAAGATAATTAAAAATAATATAATGTGTGTGTTTAAAGAAAATAAATGATTCGTCAAAAAAAATTTTGATATCTATTCGATCTTCGAAATTCTTTTTTCTCTCTTTTTCAACGTAGCAATATCTTAAATGATTCAAAAGTAAATAGGATACATTAAGATGAAGGGGGGTTGGTTGGTCTTAACCAATGGTTTCGTTTTTCCAACGTCGAAAAGCAAATCCCGTACCACGATACGACCACTCGAGAATCTTCATTTTTAATTCATTCGGTGAATACTGCGCGTAGCAGTGACAGTGACAGTGGCAAAGCGTGCCGTCGTCTTTCGCGATTTTGGATCCACAGATTTTTTTTTAATTCTCCCTTTCTCCGCGTATCAATAATTCACCGTTCCGTTGCTTTACTTTCTTCGAGAAAAAAAAAAGAAAGAAATAGATAGAAAGGGAATGAAGACCTAAGAGAAGAGAAGAGAAGGAAAGAAAAGAAATGGGGCTTCTTCCAAGGAGACTCTGAATAATGCGCGCTAATAATCGCGACCATTACGGGTGCTTAATGCAAACGTCGCGCGCATCTCGAAGAAAATCGCGAATAAGTGGAAGTCTTCCGATTCGGCTCGCAGTAGTATAGAAGAAGAAGAACAAGAACAAGAACAAGAACAAGAAGAACAAGAAGAGCAAAGTATTTCTTTTTTTTTTCTTTCCTTCCGCCCTTTTTACAAGAAGGGTGAAATAAAGAGTAGGAGAATGAGAAGAGTCGTCCTAGGGATGGAGGAAGTGATGGAAAGAGAAAGAAAGATACGAGAAACGAGGCGTCCTTTAATTCCTTTAATTCGACCAAGTTGCACCCAACCAGTAGTACCACTACCACCATCATCACCACTACCACCACCACCATCACCACCACTACTACCTCAATTCTCGATCCCTTACTACTACCTTCTAAACTCAACCCACCTCTCTGTTTCTCTTCTACGATCTCGCGACGTCGAACTTTCAAGAGAGCAGTCGCGAGAACGTAGCCTGTTAACGAGGGGCTGTTCGACTTGTTTATGGCAAATTGGAAAAGGAAATTGCGGGGTTCGTGATATTGGTAGCTCCTTAGCAAACGCACCATCCCTTTTTTTCCAAGCAAGGATGGATTGTTTTTTAAAACTATGCGGTTTTGACTATTATTTCGTATACGATTTTTCTCGATCATTACAATGAATTATTCGATACTGAATACATTAACGGTTGCTTTTAACAAAACGACGAATTTATGGGGAATATATGAAATATAGAGATACAATTAAATCATATATTAAAATTCGAGAAAAATGGCTCACAAAGGATTTCGTTAATTTTCGTTCAAGCTAACAATGGTCGACTTTTCCCGGTTGGTTTTTGGATTTTTTTCCGTCGAGAGAGCCGCAGATGAGAAGGATATCTATGATGTATATATACTACGAATATATATAAATGTATATATAAATGTATATATATATATATATATATATATATATAAATGTGTATATAGGAAATCGGAACGATGAGACGAGTAGCATGGGTAGGTGCCTACGTGAAAACGCGGAGGTAGAGTGGTTGGCTGTAAGCGGCTTTGGTTTCCATGGCAGTAAGCCCTCATTACTGTATTACGGGTAGCCCTTAACTATCGTCGGTACGCAACGATTTGCCTCTATAACCTTTATGAGAAAGGTGGATCATTCAAGATCGTTAGTGTATCGTCAAACGTGAATAAACTTTGATCGTAAAATCATCGTTCGTTGATCACATCTACACTATCCAACACTACCACCAACATTACTACCATTTTTCTCGCGAAAATGAACTCTCGATTTGTCCCTACGATGATTGGTCGTCCTTAATTTTTATATTAATTTTGTCTTTTCGATTTTATTTTTTGTTTGATACAAAATAAATCGAGAGCGCGAATACATATATATATATATATATATACGTATCTATCTGTATATAAAAGTGTATTGCAATAAAATATTTTTCTACAGAGCACCGATGAAATATCGATACGTATTTACTCTTGGAAATATCGTTATACGAATAAAAATAGAATGATTACATTGTAGTCGTGCGCCGCGCGATTGTTAAGTAAAACGAGAAATTGTCGACTGGCTGGCCGGCCGATCGACGGACGGGCGGTTCGTCGTACATAGCGCATAATTTCTCTCGCAGCCCTTTTACACCGTAGATTTTGTATGCATTTTTGCGAGGTGCTATCTCTTTCTCTCTCTTTTTCTCTATCTATTTTTCTCTCATTTTTTATCTTTCTTTCTATCCGTCTCTTTTCTTTCCTACATATCCCTGGCTGTTGTTTTGCACACGAGGAATATGAGAATGGGCTCTGGCTTTTTCTTTTTTTCTTTTTTCCTTCTTTTTTTTTTTGTTAACGCAAATATTTGCACCAACCCTTGCTCGCGGCTTTTGTGAGACAAATTTAATATCACGAATTTGAACGATAAATGATTATTGCCCAGGAATGACGCCCGCTGAAATATCAAAACCGATTCGGCCTTACCCCTTGTGTGTATGCCGGAGCTCTCTTTTGTACTTCATTTCGCGAGCTGTAAATAATGGGACAGACTTTAATAGCGTCCTATTCGCGTCTCTCTTACAATTTCGTAGTTTTATCAAATTCTCTCACGCGCCGTAGTCAAGAGAGAGAGAGAGAAAGAAAAAAATAGAGACAGATAGAGATATCAGGTAGTGCGAATCCCGTTTTATAGACGAACGAAAACGAACGAAAACGAACGAACGAACGAACGAAAAAAGGACAGGCGAATTGAAAAAGAAAAGAAAGAATGGGAGAAGAAAAAAACGCCGTAGAAAAAAAATTGATGAAGTAAAAGTTATGTTTTCGAGCACATATCCCGAAAGGGAATGAAGTAGATCGTTGAAAAATGACGGTAAAAAAGAAAAAAGGAAAACAAAAAGCAAGCAAAAAAAAAAAAGGGCTCTAAGTTAAGGTTCGAAATCGTCGATGTTTCGTTGCGCGCGTGGGCATAACGAGGATGTACGTCGAGCGAAACAGGGTGAGAGAAGGTAGGAAGAGGGCTCGTGGGTGGAGGAATATTATCATACCAACGCAGGGGCGTATATCACTCGGCCACCCCTTTCGCTATCCCGGACAGGGATTAGCGTCAACCTCCGACTGCTAGGAGTCACGGGCCGTTCGCGTCGAGACGCGCCGTCGGTCTTCTCTTCGTCCTATTTGTACAAATGTATGTGTGAGTAAGTGTATTTGGAAGGGTGGTGATGGTGGTGGTGGTGGTGGTATGAGTGCAATCGTATATCTGTGTAGGCACGTATGAGTTTCTCTATCTTTCTCTTCATATGTATATCCATAGTGGCCCCCTACGTTCGACCCAACGACGCCCGTAAAAACGACGGACATAAATACCGGAGTTACCTGTGTTTTATGACGGTTCGACCGAGGTACGAGCAGGAAAAGAGCAAAGAAAAACAGAAAAGGGATAGAGAGGAAGATAGAAAAAAAGCGAGAGAAAACGTGGACTATCGACAGGCAGATCCTGACCGATGTCCTGCTGCAATGGAATCCCTCGCCTCGATTCGTGGAGCTCTGATCCGAACGGCTCGAGTATGGAAGGAGGAACTCGCTTTAGATCATCGTAGCGATTCACTCGTCGGAAACACCCCCTGGTTCCTATCCCCACTCTTTTTTCTACCCTTTCTATGATATCGCTAACGTTCTACGTACGTAGAATTCAAAGTTCTACGTACTACTCCTACACGTATATTCGAGTTTTCTTTCGAGACGGGGTGGAGAGGGGGTTATCGCATTTAAGAAATTAATGTTTCTTTCGTTCCTGGTTATTTTGCATCCTGATTCATCTGTATGTTTTTTGTGGAGGGAGAAATTGGTATGAGGAGCGGGTGATAGGGTGAGAGATGATAGCCGGTAGTACGAGGGAGAGAAGGTTCATTCGGAGACGATGAAAGAAATATACATTGAAGGATAATCGGGGAGGCTGTCGTCGAGCGAGAAAAGTTTCTACTTCGAAGGATTGAACGATCGTCGAAGCGTTTCCGTTTAATATAAGCGCGTCGTTTTAAAAAAGATAGAAAGATAAAGTGGAAGGATAGTAGATAGGTCGAAAGAGGACAGAGAGAAAACGCAGGATTAGCGTATGAAAAAAAAGAAACGGAATCGTCGGTACGTAGAAATGTCGCTCGGAGACCAGAGCGAAAAATAATATTTAATCGGTAGAAAGGCTCGGGAGCAGTCATCCACCGTACGAGTCCAGTTCTTTCTTTTGCTCCCTCTCTTTACATCTCTTTTTCTCTCTCTCTTTCTCTTTCTCTTTCTCTTTCTCACTCACTCATTCCCTTTTCTAACCATCTCTCTTTCACCCACGACCCCCTTATGCCGCTCTTGGCAACTGGATTTTTTAATTTTTAATTGGAAAAAACGTCGTCGAGGTGGTCGACGAGATTCACTGACCATGTCGTAGAATACGACTAAAACTTGTACTGCATTCTCACGATATTCTGCTATCATCTATACACGATTCTTCGGATCGAAGAGAACGGATTACCTCTTCCCGTGATTCGTTATATATATCTCTCTCTCGTTCTCTCAAATTGATTAAACTTTTTCATCTTAAGATCGACTGTTTTTTGTTCTTTTAAAAATTAACCGAGAAAAAAATTATATATGAATTTACATTTAACAATATTTATTTATTCGGTTCGAATGAAGTTAAATATTAGTAATAAAGATATTTAGTGTAAGAAAGAGTATAATCGCAATTATGTCTATACAGTAGGACCATGTACTGTTGAGGTAATTCGGTCGAGATTCGATATAGAGTCGTTCGTTCGAAGAGCAAACGATCGCAACAGCTGTTTCCCTCGACCGAACACGCTAAGGGAGTATTTTTAAAAGGTCTTGGAGAAACGAATGTCGACCCTTCTCAACTTGGACGGGTCTTTACTACTTATTAAATCATTTTCGCACCGAAATCATTTCTTCCCTTACCGCTAATTTTCTTGATATAATCGAAATTTTCTTTGGCGAATTTAGATACTCCATTCTTTCTTTTCTCTTTTTTTGTTCTCGATAAAGTTTATCAAACGTTATTGTCCAACAATAAGTTGTTCTCTTTCTTTTCGTTTTCTTCTTCTCCTTCTTTTAAAACTGCGATGCACGGCAATCGATCTACCGAGTACAGGCCTGAGCCATCCCGATTCGGCTAGTCAAAACGTCAGAATCTTAAAAGACGACAAACACTCGGAAATAACGATCCGAGGTAGTAGGTACTACCCCTTTTGCGCTTGGCTCGCCAGCAAACAGGGGAGTTTTTAACGCTGCATGATCCCAGAGTAAACTTAGGGCGAACGCGAATGTTACGGCTGGTGTGCTAATTCTTGTCGGCTTTTTCGAATAAACGTTGGATGTAGGACTATCGTCAAGTCTGAAATAAAATAGAAAGAAAGAGAGAAGAAGAAGAAGAAGAAGAAAAAAAAAGATCAAGCGTACTTTTCAAACAAACCATTTCGTGATAAAAAATCAAATCAAAAAGGCGACACGCGAATGTAGCTTTTAAACGTTTCAAGAGAAAATCTCGTCGTTTTTGGGTTACGCGGGGAATAAATTACAATTTCGCTAGGCGTACACGTAGTTGGAGGGCAATAGACCTCAAGAGGGAGGATCGTTCTTCCAGCGAGTTACACATAATGCCTCATAAACACCCTCAAAATGCCTGACATCACCCTCGATTCGTGTTGTCGGCGCCCTCGCGGACTTGACACCATACGGCTTGGCAATAAACTTTCCTCTCGTTGCTTTGCCTTCCGTTAAAATGTCGCTTCTCTTTCATTTGTAAATCATTTTATTTTTCTTTTTCCTCTTTTTTCTTTTGTTTTCTTTTATTTCTTTTTTCTTTTTTTGTTATTATTATTTTCTTTCATTCTTTCCCTTGTAGTAAGAGTAAGTTCAATGACTTGCAATTTAAACAAAGTTGAACTTTATTGAATCCACAGTTGGATTGTATTTTCTTTTATTTTCCCTTGAATTTATTTCCCTTTTTTGGCAAGTTCATACTCCATCTCGTTGGAAGTCAAAGACCACTCGAATATTTTGCTTGGCGACGGCGGTAAGCCGGTTAAATGTCGTGGTTCACCGTAAAAACCGACTCGTTTACCGAGCTGGTCTCGACACCATAAAATAAAACTACCCCCCGGAAGCGTGCATATACGCGTACGCTCGAGCTTGGGAACTCCATTATAAGCTGTACTACTTGACTCAGTAACGGCAGGAAAACCTGCCGGGCTTCCTGTTTCATTGCTCTAACCCATACACCGATGCTAGCGTGAGCGAGTACTTTGTTTGCTTCTGTGGAAACAAACCTTTTCTTTCTCTTTCTCTCTCTCTCTCTCTTTCTCTCTTTTATCCCTCGTAAAATTTTTTCTCTTTGGTCGTTTATAGAAACTTAAAGCTCGTACGTGTAACATTCGCGTACATATATTTATTATATATGCACGCGTTACAACGTAGATTTGACATCGTTCAAATTTTTGTGGACAACATCACGCATGACGATCAGTGACATTTCTGAGGGTAACGTTTAACGCTCGACAACATTAACATATCCAGAACGATTTGGGGGAGAAGGGTTGGTCGGAGGTCGACGCAGTGGCGCCACTCGTTCACCCCTTACTTCCGGCACATTTGTGTTTTGTTTCCAACGAGCGAATTGCATAGCTCTTCCGTCCCTTTTTCCCGCGCGTCATCGGACGTGTTTTTCGGTATGGTAGTCTGAGGGAGACGATAAAAAATATCCTATCGAGAGTATCGAGAATCTTTCCCAGACGGGGAAAAAGATTAAACGACGGTACGTTATACAGAACGTTATGTCTTTAAATATTGACGAGATTGTTAGGTAAGAGCTAGTCATCTTCGTGGCCAGTAGAATGAAACCTGAATAATGAAAGAATGTGGAAAACGAGAAACCAAAAGATTGTTCTCGCTCTTATGACTTTTAATGTTTCATCGACGATGAGATAAAGCCTTGGAAATCCTGTGGGAACTATTCCTCGTCTTTCTTTTCGTTTACCACCTAACGATAATTGCTTCCGATCTTTAATATCTTCTCTATTTCTAACTTTATTTATTATTATTTCATTTCAGGAAAGAGCTTTACCCTGACCATTATGTTGCAAACAACGCCACCTCAGATAGCCACCTTATCGAAAGCGATCAAGGTCACCGTGGATGGTCCCAGAGAGCCAAGGTCCAAGACAAGTGAGTCGCACGACTTTACCTACCGTAGGCAATCATCGTTTCCTGTAAACAAATTCAGACAAAGTTTTATAATTTCTTTAAGTACGAACGAGAGGTAATAGCATTTGAAAAATATAAAGGGAACGATGAAATAGGGTCGGACTAACGTTATTCGTCTCACGTTCCAGGGCACCAAGCTTTTCATCCGTTTCATTTCGGACCTCGACCGTTCCCATTCGGACACCCGCAGGATCCGTTGGGATTCAAACTGTCCGGTAAGTGGGTGTTCTCTAATCAAAGATACGCGTTACTTCGTCTCTTTCTTCGAAGTTTCAACGTGCATCGTACCTGCTCTCGGTCTGTATCACCTACTCGACCATCCAAAACTCTTCCCCGTCGATGGATAACTAAGTTTGCACCCTCTCGCGAGCCGTACGAAGGCAAGATCCTCGCTTTCATCCTTCTACGACACCCAGACTCACTCGTCCCACTGTACACCTCACCCTCATCCGTCTTCCTACTTGCCCGACTTCGTGGCTAGGAAGGGTGTCAAAATTGAGCGTCGGCAGGCGTAGACTCAAAATTGAGTTTTGCCACCGGGTGCCTAAGTGGAGAAGACTCTGATTAAGCTCCCGACGCGGCGAACTCTACTACTGCTGCTGCTGCCTTTTCCTTTCCTTTCCTTTCCTTCTATATAAACTCGAGATCGCGTATAAACTTACCTATCGAATTTCTTCTATCCTAAAACTATTTTCATTTTATTACTTTCTTTATATTTTTTTTCCTCCCTTCCTTTCATTTATTTATCTGTACTATCTAACTCATCATATACACGACAACTATTTCTACTGGACTCTGTCACAACGGGTACATCAAAGTCCATTACCATTATTTTCGATCCCAGAAAATCCTTAATTTTCCATTAAGCGCATCGAACCCGTTAGAAATCAGATCGCATTCCCTTCCCACGAAGCTCTCTTGTGATTAACTATACGATATCGCAAATGCGCAATGTTTTTTGAACTGCAGCTGCTTCGACAGGGCAAGCTCGAAAGCTCGAATTCCATTGAAACTCGTTCGGAGCTCGAAATTTTGATGGGACTAGCCTCGAGCACCGAGGGTCGGGTACTGATACTGGTGCACCGACAGTGTATTGTTTCGGCATGATAAGCGGCTTAACGGAGCTTCGCTCCCTTTTGCCCTCGAGGGTAGTGCGGCGGGGGAGGTTAGCCCGTCCTGCCGTCGATTTCTCGCCAACCATTCCGCTACCTCTTCCCCGGCCAATCCCCCCTTCCCTCTCTCTCACTCTCTCTCTCTTTGTCTATCTCTTTCTCTCTTTACCAACATATATAACCGTTCTACTCAATCAAGGACCGAGCACTGCCGCACCCGATTTCTCTAAAACTTCAATTTACCCTCGGACCGTTTTATTGTAATTTTAACCAATAAGAAAAGATCACGTTAGTGTCGGATAATAATTTTTCCTTCAACATTTAAGATTTATTATTTATTAAGTTATACGCGCGCGCGGAAGATACAAGTAGTTACGTATCGATCAAGTATGCGAAAATTAACGCGAATCTAACTTACAATTAGTCGATTGAAGGGTAGCGCTTTGATCTAAACTAGTTGTGATGTTTTTTTGTCGAGTCAAAATAGGGTAAAAAAAAAAGTTTGTCAATCGGTTGGATTAACTGGGTCAATAATACTGCATTTGAGGTAGGCGATGGAAATGGGCAGGGAAATAAAGGGAATATCGATCGGTTTATTTCGAGCAGTGCCCGCCAGATTTTTCAACCCTTTCGTTAGAAGTTCGTCCGTTCGCGGATAGATCGCGCCTCCGTCCAGTCTGACGGCCGGTCATCGTGGTAACTTCGAAGTACGGAAGTCAAGGGTATATCGCTGGCTGGATAAGGACGTATTTCAAGGGCTGGTTTATTAGATATCAGAGGTTCCAAGAGAGAGGTAGAGGGTAAATAAGAGGACGATCGACGCGTGTTGAAAGGAACAGAGAGAGAGTGTGAGAGAGAGAGAGAGAGAGAGAGAGAAAGTGGAGAGAAGCTAGCCATATCGGGGTTGTTAAGGTGCCCATTGAGGTGTAACTAGGGGGATGTTATTAAATTTCGTTCGGCCTACCCCGACAGAAGGGGCGAATTTTACGCGTTTCCCGAAGCTGTCGGAAGAGTCTTTCAAGTCCGGCAAACCAAGTACCTTTGCTAGAGTTCCTTTCCTTCTTATTTTAATTTGTTCTTATTGTGTCGGATGAATATAACAAAAAATTCGATCAATCACAGCTTCATTGTTGTTATTTTGTAGTATTTCTTTTTTTTTTTTCTATTACTTTATATGATCAAAACTTCGAACTCGTGTATCAGATAAAAAGGGGATGGAAAATAATGGAATGCGTTAGACGACAGGTAAGACGTGAAAAATCTTTAACCGAGATTGTCCAAGAAGAAAAACATCCCCGATCACGTGCCTCCCCCGAGATGCCGTGGCATCGTCTTTGTCAGTCTTCCTAAGGGGATGAAAAATCGCGAGAGTCGGGATTCGAGTTAACAAGAGAAGCTAGCAGTGGCCCCAACCCACCCACTTTCTACCCTCCCGTGTCAATTAACCGCCTACGCTTGAGGGGGCGGAGAAAGAGCACGGGAAAAATCGCGACCCCTGTTTCAATAAGGTGGCCTTTACCTCATTTGGGGGAGATTGTTAGGAGCGCTAAGTTAAAAACTGTCGCTTCGTTCTTGGATCGCTTTGCAGTAAATTCGTGGCCTCTTTTAAAGGAGATCATTTTCTCTTTCTCTCTCTCTCTCCCTCTCCCTCTCTCTCTCTCTCTTTCTCTATTTACCGTTTTTATTTCCTCCTTCTTCTTCTTCTTCTACGTACATTAAAATTGTTTTTTAATATATTCTCTCAAAGCGGATTATTTTTTCTGAAAAGAAAAAGAAAAAGAAAAAAATAAAATAAAATAAAAGAACGAAGAGAAATGTGATCGAGAAAAAGATATGAGGAATCCGTGTGTGTCGTTTGTAATCTTTCCCTATGAAATAAATATTTTTCGTCGATTTTAATATAGTCGAGTAAAAAAAAAAAAAGAAAAAAAGAGAAAAGAAGGAAAAAGAAAAAAAAATAACTGTCGAGCATGCATTACATAATACTTTTTCCCGGGAACGCGAATGAAAAGCCATCGAATCTTGATTCATGGTAAAGGTTCTCTTAAAGAGCCCTTTTCAGAGAAAGCTGAGCAACCCTTCAGGAGATGCGCCAGTGAGTCCTTAAAGGGAACCTTTTTAAGGGTTGTTCCTGTCCACTCCCGTGTCGAATCACAGCGGATCCTTTAAATTCGCGTCACATTTCACCCCCAGGAGTCTTCGGAAGGCGTCCCTCGACTAGGTATCCCGTCTTTTAATCAGGTCCGGTGACCGGCTCCTTTCTCTGCAAGCGACGGTAACTAATGACACTCCTCTGCTATTCAGCCCCATTCTACCCGTCGTCTTCTCGGTTACCATAGATATCGAAACCATCCACCTAAGACGCCGGAGTATTCCGCTCTACGAAACGAAAGAGAAACGAAAATTATTTTCTCTTGTGTGTTTATCCAAAAAAACATTGAGTATACAAAATAATTGTCGCGTTGCTTTTTGATTGTTATCATTTTTTTTTGTCTTTTTGTTTTTTTTCGTTCATAATATTCTTTTTCCAAAGATATTTCTATCGAAAGAAATAAGTGAAGTCGAGAGTCGATCGGAGGATGCACTTTGTTTCCTTTATCATTAGAAGGAAGAGAAACTTGTGAAAAGAGAAGAAAGAAAGAAAGAGGGTGAGAGAGAGAGAGAGAGAGAGWGAGACAGCAATTTTCTCGTCCTTTCTGGAAATATCTGTTGGTAGAGCTCAGATCGGTGCCAGAGACCTTTCTAGGGTGGCATTTTAGGGGTTGCTGCGACGCGATAATGAGAACGGGCGTAAAGGGTGGGTGTGCAAAGACATCTAACCGACGGTAGCGAGAGAAGAGAACGGGAGAGTGAGAGAGAGAAAGAGAACTCTAGAGATGGCGAAAGGAAGGGGTGGTAAGAGAAGGCGAGCTTCACAAGGGTTAACGCCTTAGAAGTAAGAAGGGCGTTTTAACGCCTGTTTTGCATAGATTTGAATAGATAAGGAGGACAGGAAAATACGCGAATTAATTTATTATGTATCTACTGTGCGAGGCTCTAACGGCTTAACGATAGAACCAGAACGACCGGCTTTACTCTCTTTACTTTGGTATCCTTTCTCGTTCGAAGGACCAAAAGATTTAACACCTTTTAAAGTAATTTCTAAATGGAAGAGTAAATAATTGACAAAAAGAAAAGAAAAAAGAAAAAAAAAGGAAAAACAAGCGGAAAATATGGATATTAACCGTGATAAATATATCTCTCGTTGTTGGTTAAGCCAAGGGTCTATTTTATTGTAATATCAAGTGGTGAACACCGAAAATGGATTGAATGATATCGATTTCCAAAGTGCAAATTAATGACACATAATGAACTACCGGAAAGCCCGCGAACGATTACACGTGACGTAACATTACCGCATCCCAAAGTGGCGCGACCAGTACCGAACACATTTTGAACACGCTACTCGATAATACGTCATCCCTTAAAGCGCGGCTTCCCCATCGGTAGGCGCGCGCTTTGCAAAGGCAACTAACTCTATAGCCGTAACGTTTAAGCTTAACATTTCTCACCCCTTAAAGGGTAGCGGCTCCTTGAACCCTTTCAAAACCCTTTCTCTCCCTCCACACCTTTCTTACCCTCGCACACTCCGAAAGCCTCATAGGGCCCTCCCCTCATTAGTCTTCATTTGTTTTCGGAATTATCGCCCGCCGCCACTACTACCACCGCCATACCTCTATTCCAACACACGAGTTACGCTGAAAAGGGTGCCAACCATTTTCGGGGGTTTATTAAATTGAAAATATGTTACAATCGCCTTGGGACTCCTTGTTCTTTGAACTCAATCAATTTCAAAGTTGTCTACTTTTCTTTTTTGTTTTTTTTTTTTTTTGGATAAACTTTAATCTAGATTATATTTTTCCTTTTTCCATTTTCCTTTTTATACAACAAATTTTCATTCATTTTAAACTCAAGTTCTTAATTTGTATATATATATATAATCACGAGGAAAAAAAATAGTTTTCTATCGACAATTTTTCATATGTAGAAAAGTATGATTATTCAAAGCGAGGAATGGAAAAAGAGTAGGCATCCAAAGTAGAATCAAAGCCGTCCAACGTGGCACACGGTGCCGGCAGAGCTCTTATCGTTTTCTTAATCCTCTCATAAAGTAGCGGGACTACAAGCTCCTCTCTCAAGCTCTTCTCGCAAGCTCCGTCGACTCAGTGTTGTGCGCGCACAACGCACCACGGCAGTGTGGTAGAACGCGAGATAGTGGTGTCCTCTCTGGCAAGCTCGGCTTAAAGAGAGCTTAAAAATCACCCCTTCGACCCCTACCGAGCTTTTTCTATCCCCACCCGCGGTAGGTTGAGAATCGGTGGGGATGTTGGCTAGACCAATCAAACACATCGCAAGCTCCTTTCGACACGCCCACCTGCCACTCGATGGACAACTCTCCCCACCACTTTCCCATTACCTTCCCCTCCTTTATACCCCCGGTGCGCACTCCTCCCCCGCCAAAGCGCCACGCCGCGTCGTGGCTTCGGAGCTTTCACGGAATTTTTAAACTGCCTCGCACAGATGACGGCATAATCTGCTATTGATCAAGGTCTTTCGAAAAACCGATATCGTGTCGATGACTGGCGAGGCTTACCTCGTCTCTCTTTCCCTCCTCCCTCCTCCCACCTTCACCAGTCTCGCTTTCTCTCACTCTATATGTCTTCTTATTTTTTATTTTGTTCCTTTTCCTCTTCTTTTTTTCTTCTTCTTTTCTTTTTCTTCGTGCTCTACACGGGGATCATTGTAGTTTATTCGTAATGTGCTTTCATATCTCATATGTGTTTTATTTTCTTTATCAAACGTCCTGACGAATATTCCCATTATTAAGCGTTTCTCGTAGTTCACATCCTGCCAACGAATTAACCATCCGTCCGGCGTCTTTGAAGTATCGCATTCAAACCAAACTTTTGATGTCATGAGTTTTAATTGCATTCATACACACATGGGGCCATCGTTTCGCAATATCGGCCACGATTGAGAAAGAGACGACCGAACAATCGTTTTTCTACTCACCGCCGGAAAAATTTACCTGTCCATCCATGTCAAGCGAATGTTATTACGTCAAAGGGAAGCATTCTTCTATCTCTACCTGCCACTCGATCATAGTCTGTCCATTAAAGTAGATAGCTGAGTCGTTTTCTCTGAACAAAAATCAAAATAAAAGAAAGAAAAAGAAAACAAATAAATAAAATAGAAAATATAATTATTTTCATCGTGTTTAAATGTAGATACGCGTATAAAGTAAAACCGCACGAGACTCTTTTCATCCGAACTTGGAACGAAACATATTGTCTTTAATATGTCTAAAAAATGATCTCAAAAGAATATTCGTTGATTAGGATCACTTACGTTTTTAGGTTTGCAACATTTAAATCTGGAACAAGGAACTAATCAAGGATGGGGTGGATTATCCCGAGGATCTTTACCACCGCATTGTCTTCCGCCACCACCCGGTCATCACGCGCACGCACATCCGCCGCCGGCCGGTGGCTCGGCCTTCAATCCCTTTCATCATGCTATCGAACAGAGGTCTCCTAGACTGCCTAGTTCCAACACCGGTAAGAATCTCTAAACAAAATTATAAAAAATAAGATTACACGATATATGAATTGTATTCATTAAAATGACCATTCTTAATTTTTTTTGGTTTTTCTTGTTCATTTGGTCGAAAAGATTCGACGAGAAACGATTTGGGTCCTATCAGTGTTTCGGTGAGAGAAGTACCACCGACAACTTCCCCAGGAAATCCCGGACCAGGATTATTAACGACAGCTACCGTAGCTGCACCGACACCACCGGCCGAATCGGCGACCACTACGACCCCAAGTCCCTCGGGACATCACCCGCATTTCCAAGGTATATTCCAAATTAATATTTACCCTGTGTTGAATAACGTAAAAACCATGAAGGTGTTAACTCTCTTCCTTTTCATTCTCTTCGTCTCTCTAACTCTTCTATCTCTCTCTCTCTTTCTCTTTCTCTTTCTCTTTCTGTCTCTCTATCTGCCTTTCTCTTTGGACTCACGCAGGTCTTCATCTATTAGGAGCAACGGGATCGATCTTTGGCTCGATATTCGCTCCACTGTTACCTCAATCCTCATGGCTTTACAACCCGCTTTATCACACACAACAGTACATCCTGGAACCTGAATGGCACGCTCTAGCCCTCAGAATGGCCCAACAACGATTACAGAGACCTGATCAGGCCAGGCTGGAGGAACTTAGAAAATTACGAGGTACCAGCGATAGTCCCGAAGGTAGCTCGAAAGAAGACAGGAAAACGGATCAAGAGGATCCAGATCCTTTGAACAGATCCGGCATGGATAGTCCTGATGGAAGTATAGAGGTTGACGATAGAAACGATCAAGATCGTAAAAGGGATCGCGTTAGCGAGGAATCCTTTCTGGAACAGGACTCGCCTAGGATTTCACCAAGCAGAAGCGATCTCGATGATACGACATCGAGAGATGCAAGTTCTCGGGACGTGCCGATACTACTTCGACCAAGTATAGAAAATTTCAACGATACAGAAAGTCAAAACGATCATGAAATATCTCTTAGCAACGATTACACGGTGAAAATTCGTTTGGAAGGTACCGTTGATCTTAGCACAAAAAAGGGACAGGATAAAGAAAACGTAGGTCAGGATTTGACCATTAGGAAGAAGGATGATAATATCGAACCTATCAGACCGCGCAGGGAACGAAGTCCCAAGCCCAGACACGTCTGGAGACCTTATTAAATGGGTTCCAATCTAAAATCGATACGTTTAAGATAACGATTGATATGATTGGAATCGAAGAAGGAAGAGATAAATGATTTTTCGAATGGATAGGAAAATGTAAGCATTGTCGATTACGCGACGATTGCTGTTTTTAAATGTAACATTTAAATGCGCGCCCGAAATTGACGCACTCTCTTTCAAATATTTTAAATATTAATTATAAGTTAATGTAAATAATATCAACCTCTTTACCTGCGATCGAGAATCAACAATCAAAAAGATAAAAATTTAGGAAACACATTAAGACTTTATCGTGGAGATCACTTTGATGACTCGAGGACTAACCAGGGTTTTATGTTCGTAATAGCATGTAAATACTATATGTAACGTCCAATCATCATTACCGATTTAGATTAGATTTTCGAGTCAAACTCATTAAGCCTCATCCTATCTCTCGTTGTTCTAATTACGATCGATCGTTCTTGCTGGACAATTTCGAGTCGAACTAATTTTATTCAATAATCGACAAAAACGAGAAAATGACTTTTCAACGATATTTGTCCAGTTAGATACGACTATTATTATTATTATTATTATTACTATTATTATTATTATTATTATTATTATTATTATCATCATTATTATTATTATTGTTATTTTACAATAAATCGTTCACGCATCATCATTGTCATTAGGCTAGAAGAAGAAGATTATAAATTCATTTGAAAGAAATAAGGCGACGAATTTGATTTCATTCGATATGGGCGATACTATCGCGAATATTCGTGTGTCGTTGTAAATATTAAATAATCCTTTGAAAAAAAGAAAAAAAAACAATTTCAACGATGAATAAAATAAAATCGAATCACCGTGTCTCACAAAGTAAAAAAGTTCCCCTTTATTTTTACGGGAAAATCTCTATCGATGTGTTAAAATGATTATAAACGAAAGGAAAAAAAAAAGAAAAGAAAAGAAGGATAGACCGATTAATTCTAATCTCTCTCTTTAAAAGAAACACTTGCGTCGGTCAAGGAATATGTCATTAAATCGACATCGTATGATCTCGAAAAACAAAAAGAACATTCGCTGTTTACCTACGTCATCAAATAAAGTAATATCATCCGTTCCACGTTTGGTCCCTTATTTGTTTTAATTAATCACAATCACGTATTAAGATTCAAAAAAAATCGAAGAAAAATACTAAGGATATTTTTCACAGAGAGGTAAGTTTAACATAATTACAAATAAATAGATATACCCTAAGAAAAAGATAGAAAGATAGATAGATAGATAAAAAATGGGGAATCGACGTATTTCTTTCAAAAATTACGAATTACATTACGGAAATCTGTTCGACAAGCCGTGCGAAGTAACCGAAGCTAATCTGAAAGTGGTATGGGGGCGAAGGGTTGAGGGCAGAGAGAGAGAGAGAGAGAGAGGATGAGTGGGCAAGGGAGGTGAGGGAGTTGAAGCAGATGCAGCGGATTCAATAATTCGCCGCGATTGCAATCGAGCGGGATGCACCGCACGCAAAAACGGGCAGGCCCGATATCCGCTTGGTGAAAAGGTCCGCGTGATTGATGGGATACAATGGTTCTCCTGGTCCAACTCTCTTTTTATTTTTCTCTCTTTCTCTATCGGGTACGCTCTTTTCGTAGATATTTTCCTCTCTTTTTATCTTTATCTCTCTCTCTCTCACTCTCTGTTGCATTCTCTGTTTCGTGCGATTCACTGAAATCGAGATAAAAAGACCGCAAAACAATTTTCTACATTATTTTCCGATGCACGCCGGATCAAATGAGCAATAATACTGACACGTTGCACATGAATCTTTCTATCTCTCTCTTTATCTATCTCCTATATTTATCTATCTATCTCTCTCTCTCTCTCTCTGTGTCTGTGTCTGTATTTCTGGTGCCTAGAACGAGAGACGTATATCCGTCGACACACGCCACTCGTCTGTGTTTTACGTGGGATGTATGACGTACGGCCGACCGCTTTCCGCGATAGATTTGGTATCCTTTCGCGCGCTGACCGTTCGATAAAATACATATTCGATCCGTTCCGATGGCGTTCCATCGACTTCCGAGTAGTTTTACAAAATTCGTTATAAATCACTTTTCCCCGTTTCGCGAATAATATTCAAGTGGTCGGTTATTAGGCGTTAACTGAGAGAATATTTGAAGTAAACAACTTGTTAAGTATATACGAAGTGTCGAATCTATCAACTCTTCTATAAGTTTAGAAAAATTTCTATTGTTTTTCAACATTAGTCTAACAATTTTCTCAATTTCCCTCACCTTATAATAAAACTTTATTGGAAAAATATCAAATATTACTGTTTAAGATCATGGATAACATTATTCGCAAACTACCGTATCCATTATGGAAGACAAGCACGTCCACGTGTTTTCCGGTAGAGGAGTTTACAAAAAGTCACTGGATTCAACCTAAAAATAAAAGAGAGAGAGAGAGAGAGTCCCTATCGTTCTTCCCCTTCTATCTCTCCCTCCCTCTCTTTCACTCTTTTCCCCGTTGTTCTCTCGATTCTCTTTCGTCCCCAACACTTTTTCCAAATCCGTCCACGTTCCCCGACCAGTCGAGTTATCGCAACAAACTACCCCAATGACGATACGATTAAAATTTCACAGGGTCACGTGGGTCATGTTCTTCCCTCTCTTTTCCTCTCATCGAACAAACTGTCTCCGTACGATCCCTTTCTCTCTCTCTCTCTTTTCTATAGCAGCGTCGACTACTACTCTGTTCTCCTCCTCCTCCTCTTCCTGTACCACTTCTACCTCCACCTCCATCCCTGTTGGGTGATTGGTACGCGACCGCAGCCACCCCCGCTTTTTAATACACCCGCACCTGCATACCCTAGACTTGCAACCGGTGAGCTGCCGTTGCCATATATGCCAAAGGGGTGCATCCAACCCTTCTACAACCATCTCTCTCTCTCTCTCTCTCTCTTTTACTCTAATCCTTTCTCTTTCTCTCTTGCGTTTTGTATCCCACTCTCTATAACGTCAACGTCACGCTGTACGAAGTGATTCATCGATCGAACGTATTCATGTTCCTGTGTTCATCTCCCAAAATAGCGAGAAAGACTGTTTCCTCTTCTTCCATCTGTTTTACAATCAAGTTTATACACGCGTCTATTACATCTCAAGTGAAATTTTTTTTTATTTATATTATACATAGAAACAAATTTTGATCAACGTTAACGTTAGTCTCGAAACTTTGCCGATATTTTTTGTCATTTAATTTAAACAACTTATTCAATAAATCGTCGATCGTTAATTAGTTATCAATTTCAAATAAAACATCGATACTTTTCTTGATCCGATAAGATAAAAGAGACGATTAAGTTGAAATGCATTCTATGATTAGAATGTTTCCTCGTAAAGGATTCGAAACGGATTAAAGTATCCTAGGAAGGTTTTTACGAGCTTGGTAAAATAGAAAAAACAAAACTAAGAAAGATGGAAGAAGGTAGTTGTAGGAAAAAGTATGTGTATGTGTGTACGCGTGATATATATACGTATGTAAGTAAAGATAGATAAGTGTTGAAAATATCTCTCTGGTGTAAATAAATTATAAAAGCTGAAAAAGTTTTCCTGGCATCTCGACGTTCCGTCGTGTGTCAGGCCAAGTTCCGAATAGTCCGCGAGTCAGAAAAGGGGTGTAGAGTTGGAGAAGAGAGAGAGAGAGAGAGAGAGAGAGAGAGACAAAGGATAAAGAAGAAGAAGAAGAAGGAAGAGAAAGGGAAGTAAAAGAGAAAGAAAAAGAGAAGAAGAAGTAGAAGAAGAAGGGAAAGAGGAAGTGAAAAAAGAAAGAGGATATCCTTCGGTACTTTTTGTCTTTTCTCGTTCGTACCAGTGGCATCAGCGTGCACTGCCACTCCTCTTGACCCTCCCCCGCCCACCCCCCATTTTCTCCCTCTTTCTCTCTCTCTTCCTGTCAGGGATGTTATTTTTATTTTTTGTTACCCTTCGCCAGCCGAGCACTTTAGATAATAAGGCCAGGGCGCTTGGTACGGACGAAAGGGTAAATTGGGTATTCGTCCGAGGAATTATCTCTCTAATTTCTTTAACGTACCAGTCTCTCACCTTCCGCTTCTCTTATGTACGTATAATTTTCATCCTCGCACCCCCTTTTCCTTCCTTTCCCTTCGAGTGGATCAGGACGCTCGAAGCCCATCAGCGGACACCAGGACCAAGAGAGGACCTCTTGATGGTGGATCGAGGATGAAAGGGTTTTGCTTCTAAGGCTAAAGGATCGGAAGGTCTTCTTCCTTCGGTCGATGTTTCTTTGAAGTTTTCAAACCAAACCGAGTCAAAGAAACTACTTTCTTTCGTTCTTTCATGAAAATTTGATTATTTTTAAATCAACCTTTTTCTTCTTTTTTTTTTTTTTTAAAATTTGTTTCTCTTAGTTTTATTCGATTTGATTTGATTTATAATCGATTAGAATTATATGTATATAGAATCACGTATACGTATATACATACATGTATATTTCTCGAATAACCAACGATGTTACATAGCGATATCATTAAAAGCCACGTTCGTACTCATTGTAACAAACGATCACCGATACAAAGGTCGAGGGTCGCACAGTGTAATTCGAACAAATGATAGTTCACGACTATCGGCCGTGCGAGGGTAGCCGCTCGTATACATCGGAATGGCCCTGAAATTAGATCCAACCCCTGCCCGTAACTCCGTGTTCGACAAATTCGGTTAGTCCGATGAAAAATGGTATACCCTTATTTTCTTACTTTCGACCAATGTCCGTTCACGATTTTCTTGTTTCCTAAAAGTTACACGTTCGTACGTATTACCGATCCTCCAAAAGAAAAATGATCTTTAATCGCATGCACGCGTACTCAATATATTTGTGCGAAGTATCGATTGTTTCGATTAAATAAATAAATGAAAAAAACAAAAGGAAAAAAAGGAAAAAAGAAAAAAAGAAGGAAATTTTTATTACGTATGATATTATGTTTACCTACGATCTGTTTGCTTCGGTTCATAACCGAATGAACGGGAGGGTTATTCCGACGACAAAACTGCGGATACGCTTATAACTAACCCCCTCGGAAATATAACAGAAAAAATATATGAGATTATTTTTCTAAATCGATTCGTACGCGAAAAGGGAAAATCATTTGAAAAGTAAAAACAAGGATGTGGCAGATGCGTTTTGTATGATAAAATATTTGCAAGGTCGTTGGTTGAATCAGGATGAGTTCAAGGTTTCCATTGGAATTCGAAACAGAAGTAGAAGAAGAATATCGAATGATGATACGAATGTTATCGCGAAAAAGGGTGAACAACCTTAATTCCATTTAGGTTCGTTTTCGGAGAACGATCCGTTCGGTGTCTGCCGGAAAAGAATGAAATCGAAGAAGAAATGAAAGAAGGAATGAGTGTGCGTGAGAGAGAAAGAGAGAGAGAAAATATTCGAAGGAAAAAGAGGGAAAAAGAATAAGAATAAGAATAAGAGAAAAAAAAGTGAGGAAGGAGGTTTGGAATATAGCAAAAGTCGTGGCGTTGAACGCCAAAAGCGTAACTCTGCCAAAGACAATATAAAAGTTGGAAGGGTCTCGCGGGATTGGAAGTCGTAAATATCATCTGCTAAATAAAGCTTCATCCTCGAGTACGGAGCTTGAGTGGTGGTGAAAACCCCTTTGCACTCCTTAACATTCGAGGGAAGCGGGAAGACAAAGACTCCTAACGTCGATTGACATTAACGTATTGAAAGGACGAAATAAAAGAGGGAGGAACAACTAAACGTTCTTGCCTTTTTATTTTTATGTTTTCCAATACCTAACGATTAGGATTCGGATGGTTCCATTTTTATAAGAGAAAAACCTTTCCGTTAATTAAACCGATAATCGATAAAAATATTTAACACTACGTATAAATGAAGAAAGAAAGAAAAAATGCAAAAAAAAACAACAACCTTTTGTTTTTTTTTCTTATTCGAACCGATGTGAAAACAAATTTTTTCTTTTTTTTTCTTTCTCTTTATAAAATCCATGCACCTCGAAGATTCTCATTTTTCCGCATGGAAAAGTGTCTTAGTCGCGGCTCGAGGCGTCCCTTCGAAGACTTACGAACCATT